TTAATTTGAATTAATATGGGTTTGCAGTTAAAAGTTTTGAATTATCTTGGCTCTTTATCAAGGCACAGGAGATAACATGCTTTTGAAATAAAATATTGTTCTTAGATATGTGTTTGGCTGGCTGTGAGCATCCCTCTGATTACTGAGAGGTGTTGTTTCTGCCTGCAGTACAGTCATCTTTATGGCTTTACAGTGTAAGTTATTCTTCAGTCATGTTCTGTTGAGATGCTTTTTGTTAAAGATCAGTAAACATTACCTAACTTACCAATGAGTGACAGCAAATTTCTGACCCTTAGCCCACTGACACCATTTTTTACTTCCCCTTGAAAAGCCTGTGACATGTAAATGTTTGACCCCCTTTGCAGTTCTCCATGGAAGGTGTCAAATTTAGAAGGCTAGTAACCACTTCTTCTTTGACCTTCTGTTTTGCTGACTAAAGTTTCAATGAAGCATACAAAATTTGGGACCTTTGTACAAATGAGAAGATCTTTCCCTTGTGTGTCTGTGTGTAACAGCAACAACTAGACTAAAGAAATCCTTCTTTAAAGATACATTATTTTCTTAAATCTGATTTTAGGTATTTAAAACCAGTGTAAAGATTAATAAACTCATTTTCTGTAGCATCTCTGCGCTCCTAGATCATTGTGTGTAAAGATTCCTGATAAGTCTAGAATCTGCTGCTGTGCTCAGCAGAAGAGATGCAAGATGTGTTTTTGCAGAGGTTATACCTTTTCATTACACCAATTGATGGTTATTTGAAGAAATTAGACACATTTGCCTGCACAGCCCCCTTTCAGATTTCCAGTCTGTTGGTTTATTTGTTGCCCTTACATTGATTTGAAAGTTTTGGCGAATCTTACATAAATGCTGTAGCTCTTATAGGTGACCTGGACAGCTTTGTTTGGGCTAAAGCCTTGCTAACTAGCTTTTGGGTACCTTGGTTATTGCATTAGCCCTTGGTGGGTATAGAGAAGCTTTATTCTGCTGTCCCTCTACTCTTCACTTCTTTCACCAACGTTTGGATGTGTCCTAGACTTGGTGTTCAAAACAAAACAAAACAAAAAAAGGCAGTTTGTTTGAGTGCTGATGCTACTAAACCAAACCTCACTAATGATGAATTCCTCAGATTGATTTCAGCTAAATAGATGCTTTCCAAGTGTTTACTCACTTTCTTTAACAGAATTTAATTAAAGAATTATATGAGACCAAGAGCTTGTTTATATATTTCTTTTCTTGCGTATATTTAAGAATCATAACTTATTTAATCTTGAATTCTATACTGTGTTCAGTGAAACATTTTGGCTAATATGCATGGGAAAAGATGTTTCATTTTGAGAGTCAGGGCTATTGCTCAGTAAATTGTCTTATTGTCTTAAATGGTCATAGTATTCTTAAAGAATGTTTCCAAGATACTGGAACAAATACAGAAATGAGATTATTGGGCCACAGAAGTGAAAGAATACACGAGCATTTGTCTGCTTAATCATCCCTATCATTAAAACAGCTATGTCACCATCCTCTTGTGCTTGCTCCTTGGCTGCTGTGCTAACATAGAGTGGGACGTGGGGGATTTTTTCAGGTGACCTATAAAGCTATTAGAGTCACAGGTTTTAAAACTGGGATGTAGACAGCCATACAAATATTCAAATAATCTCTGCATGCAGGTATATATATGGAAAGTCTGTTTCCTAACCACAAGTGGCCACCTTTAAAAGGCTATTTCTGTTCTTTTTATAAAATTATACAGTACCTGAAAACTATTGTTACAATGGAAAGATATTTCGCTGGAGAGTAGGACTGAATAGAACCTGAGCAAGCTGTTTGGTTAGAAGTCACTCCCACCCCTCTTCCCAGACCCAGGGAGCAAAACTGGCTTGCACTCAGGTTCAGTGTAAACTTGGGGAAAGTGGGAAGTCTTGGAGGGGTGAACCCCAAGAAGACAACACATCTCAAAAAGCAGTGAAAACCTTTTACCACAGATTAGTCCCGAAGTCTGATGATAGTAGAAGAGACTGAAGGAAACAGAACCAGGAATGATTGTGTTACTCTGCTAAATTTATTAGGATCCTCCCAGGACATCAGATGGAAAACCATTTAGTACCCATTGCAACTTTGTAGGACCTGTATGTCCCAGTTTTCAGTGGGTCTGGGACATAACAAATGGATACTGTCTGTAGTTCTAGTTTTGGCTTGGGAGCAATGAGACAACTCACCCTCTTGGTCATTAGTAGAGGGCAGAGCAGTGAACCAATTATTGGATCATTTTTGCCACTTATTTTGGTACTTGATTTTTAAAAGAAATTTTATTTATAATGAAATTGTTATACAACAATATGAGAAGTTCCTCTTGTGCTAGAGGCAGATGATGTGCATTAAACTAATAATACACTGTACTTGAAAAATACTACTTGTGTAATTTAAGTTTTGCCCTGTCCATGCTCTCTTCTGAGGGGTAGTACTTCTTCCTTGGAATAGATTTGGAATACATGTAATAATAATTAAACTTTATTTTAGGGCCCACAAGTTGAAAATGTGAAATGGCACTGGGTAGGAAATTTTTTCCATAGTTAGAGCTGAAGTTTGTATTTGCTTGACTAATATGAACAATGTAGGAGATAAATACCTATTAAGAGTGCTTGCATTTATGAAGCTTGTAAACTTGGCAGAATTTAATGAGGCATTCCTGCTAGAAAAAATACCATGTGTGGTAAATTATTACTGTGAATTATGAATGTTTAAAAAAAGGGGGATTTGCCAAACTTAGCAGAAAATTATTAACTGTGAGAATGGTTTCCCAATAATGCCATCCCACAGAAAATTATAACACCAGCTTGGGAGTTACCAGTGTTTAGTCAGATATAACATCCAGTTGGTACAATGTTTGCCTTTCTGAATTCTCAAAGGGTTTAAAATGTACTCTCTGTAGTAATCGCTGGGTCAGGAAGTGGGAATGTGTTTCCATGGTGGCTCTGCTCTCGCACAGTTCAGATGATGAAGGAGAAACAGTTTTGAAGTTTGCTATATCTCATCAGGGAGATTTCCCAGTTCAGCTTTGCTGTCTGTCAATGAGAATACTAGATTTTACTTTTTTTTCTTTAAAAGGAAAAGGTCAGTCTGGGTAGAGCAGTAATGAACAGAATAATGAGCAGTGGTCCAGCCTCTCCCTTACAATGTGATGGATGGTGAGCACTGCAGAAAGCCAACAAAACCAAGAGAGCTGCAATTCCTTTCGCCTCTAGATAAACCATTTCTGGGAGGATTTTCTCTTTAGTCTGAAAATGAACAAATAGATACTGTTAATTGAAGATTCTATTCTTCAAATAATAAGTAATTTTCATTCTGGAGTAGATAATTTATGCCTACTACCGAGGCAGCAATTGTGATTAATATGCTGCATTAGCTGCTTGAGCAGATAAAATCTCAACAGCTAAAGATATTGTTTTCATGCAGATAAGGCTAATAGAAAAATGAAAGGAAGATAAAACCTCAAGAATGTGATGTAATGCACAGAACAAGTTATACCCTGTCAGAACTGTAAAGTCTGAGTGAAATGTCATCAGACTTTCCTGTAAAGGAAGTAGGAAGAAAGGGTTATATGTTAGGACACCCTAAGCTCCACACCTGTAACATGATGGAAATGGAACTGACCTGTTTTGGCAAAGGGTGTGATGGCTTATTTCTTCATTGCCTGCATAAAGAGAGCAGTGCTTTTTCTTCAGGACACCCCGTGTCTCAGGCAGCATAGGCCAAAGACCACTATTGACAACAAATAGGGGTTTGAGTCTCAGATTAGTTGCAACAAACAAGAGACCTCTCTTGGTGTTTTCTTTAGTCTAAATCCAATAAACCAAACTCCAGTTAAATAATTTTTATCTCTTAAACCTATACATTAAAGTTATTTTTTTAATTTGTACCATTAAATTTGAAAAAATCAAAAAAATGTCTCAGAGTCATCTAATTTAACCTCAATGACTACATAAGTCTCCACAGTCTTGTATTCAGCAATCTATGCTCATTAGTCATCTGATCTCAATATCTTTTTCCAAAGTTATATCCCAGACACATATTTGTTGGTGTAGCAAATACTTTTTTATTTTTTTTAGGACAGTAACCACGTTCTTCTCACTGACAAATTCACACTTTTGTTTTAAGATGCATAATAAAGCATTTGAGTCATACGGAACGCTAAGATGGGTGGTGATTAGCAGTAACTAAAATGAATACATGTAATCTAGAAAATTATTCTCTTGTAAATTAATGTTCTTGTCCACAATAGATTTAATCTAAAAAGCATGTCAGTGAAATATGGGGAGTGTTTTTTTGTTGTTTCAGTAAAACATCAGCATATAGAATCACAGAATCATTAAGGTTGGAAAAGACCTCTGAGATCATCAAGTCCAACTGTTAAATACTATGCTTTTGTTTTCTTTTATGTGCGTGAGATGTAGATGAAGGAATTAAAATATTGTTGCCGTGTTCTTTTTTTTGAAGTTTGGTATCACTATTCTACTCTTGATTAAAATTAGGATCTTGTTTCTCCATTGTGACTGGCTTGCACCATTTGGTTAAACATATGACTCGTTAGTGTTTTCCTTCTTAGTGTCTATTTGGTTATCAGTTATCTGTTTGAAATTGTTCTGAAATACATTGAAATAATAGTTCTACCATATATCTTTATGGGGTATTTATAATTTGATTTTGATGGTCAGTTGAATGCCCTTTAAGCACTATGTCATCAGCAAATATTGTGTTGGTTTCTGCCATAACTGTGAATACATGAAGTGCTGGACTGCCATTGTGTCACTTGGATTTGGAAACTCTAATTTTGGTTGAAAAAAAAACCCTCCAAATTTTACCCTTTTTTTAATGTATTATACTAATGCATTATTTTTAAAGTACTGTATATAATTTTACTGTGAAGGTTGAGAACTTGTGCAGAAACAAAAACCAGAGAGATTGAGTACAGTAAATTTGCATGAATTATCCTCCTTTTTTCGTAGATATTTGGGCAATTGGCTGCATATTTGCTGAACTGTTGACTTCAGAACCTATATTTCACTGTCGCCAGGAGGACATCAAAACAAGTAATCCTTTTCATCACGATCAGCTAGACCGCATTTTCAGTGTAATGGGATTCCCTGCAGGTAATTTATTTTCATTAAAGCATCAGATGTAACGCCACTGAGTTGTTTTTTTTTGGTTATGTTTTTTTTTTTTTTCTAAAGGAAATGAGTAGTTGTTTGTATAGGTACAAAGAATCTGACAATTTGATGGATTTGGAAATGCTGACAATTATGGAACAATAGCACTGGCCAACAAACAGGAAGTCAAACAACTGCTGTAGTTATTTCTTCTCATGTATTACTTAACCTACACATTCAGAATTGTAAATGCTTTTTTTTTCCCCTCCCTACCAAAGATAAAGACTGGGAAGACATAAGAAAGATGCCAGAATATCCAACTCTTCAGAAAGACTTTAGGAGAACAACGTAAGTAATGATAATGCAACAGCAGTTCACTGAACGTAGCAGAGGCAGAAATCACCTCCTATGCTCTGACTTTTTGGGGAGGGGATGTTGGAGCATTTGGGTTCTAACACTATGACAGCTGTCCTGTTTGAACTAGCTGGTTTGCTTGAATGCTGTTCTTTTCCACAGCTGCTTGTTAAAAACATCAGCTGAGTGGCCTCCCCGTTTCTCTAGAAGGGTGTTGTCATAAATGTCATTTAATCTATGGCAGGCACAGACAAATGAGCTTGCTTAACGCACTTATGTTCCGTGTTCAAGATAACTTCACTCATTTTGTGTGAGAAGGAATAGGGAAGTACTGGTACTTTTGACAAGCAGATATGCAGAGACAGCAATACAGTGGACAGAAATTTCTATGGAAGGTAACATATTTTAGAGGTGATTCAAAGCCTGTCTGGGGTCTGAGAATTTTCCACTTTTACTGTTTTCTGGTGCTTTGGCTAAATTAGTCAAGTGGTGGTGATAGTAAGGAGCCAAACAGACTGTTGTAAGGCAGAGGACATGGACTCAGAAGTTTTGGGTTCTGTTTCCAGCTCTGCCATGGGTTCATTACACTCTCTTTTAGACAAGACATGAAGCTTATCTGTGCATGAAGCTTCTTTCTTTTGAAAATGGCTATAGATAACCTCTGGAGCTGTAAATAAAAGGCAAGGCACAGGTAATAAATATTTGAGACATCTTTGAGCTTGGAAGCTGGAAGGACTATATGATTTGCTGCAGGTTGGGATTGGGAAGACATAGTGGTAACCTTAACTGCTCTGCCAAATTGTAACTGGAAACAACTTAATAGCTTAGATGTTGAGCTCTTACAAAGGGCTGAACACTTTCTGCGGCAGAGTTGCTTTAGAAAACTAGGATATAAACTTCAAGTTATGTCTCCCTGTCATATGTCCATATCAACAGTTTATCCATATACTATAAAAGTTGCATGTTTCATGGAAATAATCTTTACACAGTTGATACCACTCTTGTTGGTGAAAAGCACACTTTATGTGTGCAACTGCTAGATAAATATCTCACATGTCTTCTGATAGTAGTTCTTTTTATAGCTTACTTATTAAGGGCTGGTAAATGTTTTTGTGATTTGGTAAATGTTTTTGATAGAGTTCCATGTTTTTAATGCAGTGTTATTTCAGACATATCTTTCTTTAACTGTATTTTTCAGATATGCCAATAGTAGCCTCATAAAATACATGGAGAAACACAAAGTCAAGCCTGACAGCAAAGTTTTTCTTTTGGTAGGTGCAACTTGAAAATTGCTGTGATGACAGGAATGAAATACATTTCTAATGGTAATATCTGTGTCTGTTCTTCTGTCTCACTCTAATGAACACCAATATTTAAGAAAGCTATTTACCACTAACTGGCCATTTTTGAGATGTGTTTTCTTCATATAAATTTATGCTGAGGTGTGCTTAAACTGCTGGTAGTGAAGATCTGAGAGTTTCTGTAATTAAGATCTGCAAGGCACTTGTATATTCAGCCTTACCTTTAGGTCTGTTGTGCAAATAGGAGAGTGAGTATAGTATATGTCTTGATTCTGTGTTGTCCCAGAGAGCTCCCAAAAGCTAAAGAGTTTTGTGAAAAAAGGGAAGAGGAAAGGAGAAATTTATTTTCTGTAGTAATTTGTTTTTCTTTTTCTTCCCTCTGACAGTAGTCTACCACTGTTCTGTGGTCTACCACTGTGCAATTCCAAACAAAATCCCTAAACATATATATACTGGTTACCTAGTTGAGTCATCCACTGTAGGCCAGTGGATCATTCCTGGATGCCTCTGTGATGAATTAGTGCTGTCTAAATTTAGGAATTAAGTTCAAAGTGACTTTGCTAGTACTGTAAACAGGGAGCCTCTGCAATAAGGCTTAGTGCAGCTTGAGTTCCAGTGATCTATTTTCACTTACAGATTCAGCATAGCAGTCATCTCTCTAGGTCCTGGCGAAGATTTGCTCTTTGACTTGTTAGTAGCTGCTGGATGATGACACAAATAGCTGTGGAAACAGAGTAGGTTAATCCCAAGTGGGTGGAAGGGAAGCATTCCCATAAGAAGTGTGAGACTTGAATAAAAATGAATTAAAACTTCTTGAACTCAAGTTACTGGGTACGCATTGGAATCACCTGGAGGATAAGTCTAACTGAAAAGATGACATTATTAGCACGTGAACTTCCATGTTTTCCTACAAAAGGTGGAAGCCACCAGAAAACCTGGTGGAAAGGCAGAGAAACAAATGAGTTGCTGTCAGCATACATAGCTAATTCATCAAGGTTGTGAACACAAAGTTGAGAGTTATCTTGGGTGGGTAGGCTGCTTTTCCAGGAGGAAATATTAACAAGATCTCTAAAGAACGAAAAACTAACCATATGTTGCTGTTCTTTCTGAACATCCTGAAGAAGGCTTATCAAGGTAATCAAGGTAGTTTCTGTTAGGTTTTTCTCACAGTTCATAATCAGGGATGAATAAGGGTATTTTAGTGATCAGCCACAGAGATGGAGACTGATCTCAAATAGACCAGTCTCCCAGAGATCTGCATAAGAATGCCCAGGAATATGAACAACCTTCTTCATACCTCATTGCTGTACTGAGGAGGTTCATGCACCTAAAAATTGCCATAGCCATGCTACAGCAAAGAGGCTCAGTACCTACCTTGTCTCGTGAAAGATCCTAAAATACAGCAGATCTTGAAGGAAAGGTGTGCATTGCTCTCCCATATCACGAGATAAGAAATATATCTGCTAATGAGCTTGGAGGTGCATGTATTTTGAAGCAGACTCCCTAAAACTCCTTGTTCGTATCGAAGGTAGTTATTTTTTGAGGCAACCTCCATCTTGCAAGGTGACCTCAGAAGGCATCTGCTTTGTAACAGTCATTGATCAAGACCTTGTGCTAATGAGTACAGAAAGTGTGGTGCTTGGAGAACAGATGGCATCGAGTAGACCAGTGCAGGATAGCAAGTGGCTCTTGAGAAAGAGAATATTATGCCATTCTGCTGATTGACATTGAATGATAATATCTACATGAAGGGCAGAATGTTTTCCATTCAGGAAGAGGCATCTATTCTTGCTGTCCTGGAAGAGTTACAAGCATAGTATTTATAGCTGTCATGTCAGGCCAGGGGAGCCCAAGAGTAGCAATTTTGAGACCTGCTGAAAGTAAGACTTCCGATGAAGTCTAGTCTCATAGTTGTGTTAGTAACTGCTACCCTGAAAAAAAATTGCCTCTAGACATTTTTTATTCATTTTCCCAGAAGCTACGCGTAACCAGACCTTCTAAAAGAAAGTTGGTTTCCAGTGGCATCACTGATAGGCAGATTATCTCACTTGGAGTGATGTTATGTGTGGTGTCACTTGGAATGAGCAAACTGATGGTATCCTCGGGGTGAAGGGTGAATGCTGATGGAAAGAGCAGATCATTAAAAGGTCCAAGATATCTTTAGGTCTTCTGCTGTGGTACATTAGTCTTATCTTTGAGTGACAAAGAATACAGGTCATGTTTGGAGGCAGTTTGTGATGATGGTGTTTATATGGCAGCAAACTGTATGAGCTTTCTCCTGAGTAGTACTGCAGCAAGCAGGTCTGAGGAAGGAGTCCAGGGGGCAGAGCTGATGCCGTCTACTCTTCTGTCAAGGATGACATCTGGTGCCAAAGACCAGGAGTGGCCTTGTACAGAATATGCGTATTTGTCCTCCAGTCACTGTGGAGGAACTGGGGAGAAGAAATGTGTCAGAAGCTGCTATAACTGACAAAAAATTTGCATATAGGGAGAGGTGGTGATTTGAAGTAAAGATACTGGAGTCCCCAAATTGTGGTATATATTGTGTGAGGTCACTGTGTAGAGAGACAACAGCACATTAGAAGTTCGATTTGTTAAGATGCATGGGAAACATAGGGTTAAGAGTTATCTGACCACACAAAAATACAGTAATAATAATAAAAAATAAATGGTCTCAGGTGAACTCTCCAGGTGTGTGCAGTGCAGGACTATCTTGAGGTGTATCTCTAGGCAAGCAGGCAGAATTAATTTCAGGAGCTGGTTGCAAATGAACTGATAGGTGGAGAGACAGCCCAAATAGCTCTTTGTTGTGTTGTCAGTCTGTTGAGGTCCATGGCCCATAAAATATGTGAATAAGGATAGGTGGGAAGAAAGTGGCAGAAGTACAAAGAATTTAATAGGCCTTGTCTACCAGGCCTAGAATTAACTATAACTATTGAGAAAGGAAATACAAGGAATCATCTTTCTTGAGGAGGATGGGTAGTCTTACTGAGGCTGCTTATTGTAGCAAATATATAGAATATAGAATTGTATATCAGATTTTTAATTTATTGGAAGAAAAAACCCCAAATACCCATGCCAAAATCACATTCTTTTGCTGAATATTCCGGCAGTTTTTGTTGGAGGACCAAAAGACAGTTTGAGCTAAGATATCCTTTGCAGAAGAAATTTTATTTTTACTACTGGCTTGAATTAAGAGAGGATTGCGTGAGAGCAGGATACTGTATAATGTAATTTGAGCACCCAGATTTCCTACTGTGAGTTTATCAGAATGTGATAAATAAGTAACTCTTTAAAATGGTATGATATGCCTATAATTGCTGTTTATACTACCAATGTATTGTAATCCTCTTTTATAGCCTGTTGCAGTCAAAAGCATTCTGGCTAATAGATTTAGGCTTATTTTCCTCCTAGCAAGGAAGAAAGGTTACTAGGAAGGGTCTACTCCCCCTCTTTCTCATTTCAGTACCAATTAGAGTAGGTTTGAGGAGCTGCATGAGTATCGGAGTGCTCTGTCTCTGGAATGTTGCCATTGTAAGAAATGAAGATTTATTGTTTCCATCCCTAAAGCGATATGAAGAGTCCTGGTTATGTTCAGTCTGTTCTGACACTTCATTTTGTGTTAGCTGTACAGAACAGTATAAAAGCTATACATGTGCCACAACAAAAAGACATTATTTATAAATTATGCTTTATGAACCTGTAATAGCTGAATTTAGTGTTACTTTAGCAAAGTGGTTTAGCCTTAGCAATTAATATTGCCTGATACACCTAACTATTTCTTACATGAGAAGTACTTCACAGCCTTTGTACTTCACAGTACTTTGATGGATGTGCATTGTAGTTCTCGGGAACTTCACTGGACAAGCAATGCTAACTTATGCTTGTCTGGACAAGCCAGAAAGAATTTAGTAATCCAAAATCCAAGACATACAAGTTATAGTTTGAAAAATAGAAGTTTGATGAACTTTTTGCTATTTTTAATGTTATGCTTTACAGCTTCAGAAGCTTCTTACTATGGACCCTACAAAGAGAATTACCTCAGAGCAGGCTTTGCAGGACCCCTACTTTCAAGAGGATCCTCTGCCTACATCAGAGTATGTATTCCCTTGTCTGTGCACATCTTCTTTCTGCTATATGCTCATCCCTGAAATTACATGACATCTGAAACATTCAGATATCTGTCTGTGTCCACAAGAAGTAGTAGCTCAGACATACTCAGCAGAAACTACACTAGTAGTCTGTATCTACTGGCGCCAGAACTAAATGGTCATGAAAAATAACCCGGTACCACACTAGTGGTGTAATTCTGAGCATACTACCAAAGCTAGAGGGACAATATTATTGCAGTATTTAGAGAATTATCTATTCCCTCTTCTGTTCTGCCTTATTCAGCCTCACAGAGCCCTGTCTTCCACTCCCTAGTTTGATTGTGCCTCTCCCTAAGATTAGGACAGTTCTCTGACCTACAGCCCTTTCCTATGCCCTCTGGCACAGGGTAACAGTATGAGAAGAGTGAAGAGATAAATGGCTGCCTAAAATGCCACGAATCCCTTGTTCAAAAGGCTTGAGAGTACAGAATTTGTCTCTCTGTATTTTATTGTCGTGATAAGTTCAAATTATATATTCATTTCCAACTGGCAGACTTACAGTTTCTCTTCCCAGTGTTTAGAAGCGTGGTGGTGCATAGCATTATGTTCTGTGGGAACTGGATGCAGGGAGACTTCCACCTTTGCTTTCATTGTTTCCTCAACCAGCAGGCAACACTAAAAGGAGGAAGCAGTCACTGGAGTGCAAAAGGAATCTAGTTGAGACTAGTTGGGCATTTTTAAATTTCTTTTTCTTGTTTACACACTTTTAAAAATCATGTCACGTTGATTGTATTCTGAACATTGATGCAGAAATCTAAGAAATTGATACTGAGCAAGATCTACCAGTAATTTTCTGTTTAGCGTTTATCTGATGCTATCCTAGGTAGAGCTATAGCTCCTCATGGATTACAGGATAACATTGTGATAAAGTGTCTGCCATAAGCATTAAGGAATGTTCCAAATTCCATTGGCGAGTGGAACTTGAAAACTATCTTTTTTCCCTCAGCAAGACCTGGGAAGCTTATTGAAAGTAACTATGCAGTTGTGATTGGCAAATATATTTAAGCCTGCTGTAAGCCAAGGCAGGCTCATAAGACACTAATACTCTTTGGATCAGGCCCTTTATTCAGTGAGCCATGCATGTTCTAACTGGGTGTTGTGGAACCTCTGGCACTGTGTTTGTTCATTTTATCATCTGGATCAACAAGTGGTCGTTCTGGCATTCAGGCATGTTCAACCATGCCATGATTTCTAAATGACAGCCTAGTGCCAACAGCAAAGAGATCTGACGTTATGATCAGCACCTATCTCGAGTGCTCACACTGCCACTCACTTTTGGAAACAGAACACATGAAATACAAGAAATTAAGTTACGTTATATGCACTTGTTTTTAACATGGTGTTAAGTAAGTGTATGCCATATGTATATATTCGTGGAGTGTTTACTGTTTACTGTGTTTCAGTGTGTTTGCTGGCTGTCAGATTCCATATCCCAAAAGAGAATTCCTCAATGAAGATGAACCTGAAGAGAAAGGGGATAAGGTATAATAAAATCCTTTTTATTTTAAAAAAACCCCACTTTTAAATATGCAATAAGAAAGCATCATGGTGCTACCAAATGAAAACTAATGAAACACGAAGAGTTAACAAAAAATATTTTTCTGAGGTAATGCTCAGCTCTCTTAAAACTGCTTCTCAGAAATATGAAAAGTATCAGATGACTTTGGGGTGTCTCAGGTGGTATTACCCGCATGGTTTGCCCTGACCTGTGAGGAAATGAGCTTTATGGGCTGTTGTGTCAGCAATAGCTTGCTTTCAGCTGCTGTCATGCCAAGAGGACCTTGCTGCTTCCTCCAGCATTGCATGATGAAAATACATTGTGAGCACATGAAGAGAATGGCATTTTCATTGTATGACTGGCATACATCCAGCCATTTGAATGGAGATGGCTGTTGGGGTCTCAAATAAATAGTGGCAGCCTGCTTCTGGCACTACATCAGAACATTTCATCCATCTGCACACAGTTTCCTGATCATGTTTTAAGGGCTTTCAAACACAGGAGTAGTAAGGACTGTGAACTGTTCAAGTAGTGACAATCTGCTCTGAGTATTCTTTTTCTCATAGCCCCATAGACATGGGCGAGAACTTGTTTGTGTGCATAGTAAACTTTGGTGTGTTTGCAACATAATCTGATCTGCTTGGTGTGTGTAGCTCAGCTGTGCTACATGACCCCAGTGATTGTCCCATCATACTGTAAAGGCTGGACAGTAGTGCTATGGTGTAAAAAACAGCTTGTTATTTTCACTTAACAATGTACAGTGAGACACCAACAGTATAGCTAACAAAATGTGAAGAGAACAGTCTTGAACTGTAGTTATCCGAGGACTATGTGAGAAGGACTGTTATCTTTTGGAGAAACCGTTGGACTATGTGCCTCTTCTGTTTTCGTTTTTCTGCATAATATGACAAACAAGCTGAGTTTAAAAATACATTTCAGAGAGCAAATTTTATGTTCAGAACTGATATTGCAGTTCCTCTGTACTGAGAGCAAGTGGTAACATCCATGATTGTTGTGTCCAGATAGTTTTTTCAAAAAGAGGAAACAGACCCTTAAACAAAAATAAAATGAAAGTCATAATAGTGATTTGATTGTAATGTAGTTACAAGTTCTGCTTCAGCTCTCACAGCTTCACAAACAAGAAGAAACCTTATTAATTAAGATTACTCTGGTTTTTTACTTTCAAGTCAGTGTACTTAAAAGTAAAGACCTTTTTCCTGGGAGTGCTTTGGGGGGTGATGTCAATGGCATATTTATATTCAAAACAGCCAATATATAAATGGTCTTTCAGATTGTTGATGACGGTCACGTATTTATGCACACTCCAAATTAAACTTTTTTCAGATCGGTTGAGTAATATAAGTCACACATTACTCATTGAATGTGTTCCCACAGTGTAGACAATGTGGAGGTAAAGGATATTCTGGAAGTTAAATGTGTACCATGTTTTGTTGCTTTATGATGTTATTGTAAATGAAAGGTGTTTTTTTTTTATATACTGCTTTGTTTTTGCTTTGTTTTAAAACCATAAACATCTGTATAGTCCTTTGGAAACCGGGAGAAGTTCTCTGTGTTTGTTTATTTGGAACTTGAATCTGAATTGAATAACATTTAACATAAGCATCCATTCTTCAAAATGCATAATCGTTAGGCAGCAAAGCTAAAATGAGGGTTTGTAGCACAAAGGGAAACTATTCTCTTCTCATTCAAATTCTGTTAGGCAAGTTTCTGCTGGGTTTTTTTGTAGGTAGAACCAAAATTTGATTTTGGTAATTTGTGCCTGAGAGGTAACAGGTGTCAATATGTTGTTAACTGTAGGCCTTTTATAAGTTTATTCATTTAGGAACCACCATGAACCAGACTGACCCGAGGACAATGTCTTTGCTGGTGTAAGCCATTTTTGTGCAGTAATGTGGTGCAACTAGACCTCAGCTGTAGTCTGACAAAGCAGGTCCACAGAAGAGCAAGCTCAGGCTAATCAAGTAAATTTTGTGCCAAAATCCAAAGCGCAAAACTTGGGACCTCAACAAACTCTTGTCTTTAATTATGAGTGTTCCTGCAGTATTTGTTTACACATAACAAAATTGCAGCTTTTCAGCTCACACAGTAGCAACAACCTCAACTTGCATCCAAACACCCCTATGAAAACACAAATTAGGCAATTCTAGCACAAATACTGCCTTAGTTATTGATTTTTGTGTAAGTGAAGCTCAAATCATTATGAATAGATTAATTGCTTCTTAATAGATTTTTTACAAGCTAGTTTGATTAACTTTTTAAATTATTGAAGTCTAAATTTCACAGGATACAGAATCTGACTGAGATGGGATTTGAGGACTGCAGGCAGGAGAATACATTATTAGTTTTGCTGAATGTGAAATGGAATTGCAAGCCATCTTGAAGTCCTTGAAGATGCAAGGCTTCTTTGTAATCTTAATGAATACATCATTGCAAATTTCATCTGAATGTATCTTGGGAGACCATTGTGAGGAATGGCTTAGATACAGATCTTTTGTGTTCTTTATCTGAGGTAATTAAGTGCATCTTGATGATTGGGGCATCAAGAATTTTCTTCTAGCGGCAACTGGTTGTCATGATTTCTGGGAAACTAATAAAGTCAGGGTTTTATAAAAGACTACCATGCTTGAATTTTTATATAAGCAGATATTCTAGGAAAAAAGTACTATCCTGGAATGTTCCCTACAGTATACTGGGGGAAGGGTAATAAGGCTTTTCAGTTCAAGCCATGTCAGTTGTAGGTTTTTTCTATGATAACCAATTGACAAATCTCACATTTGGAGTGAAATTGCTTTTCTTTGCAATTTTCTTATGTGCTTTAGTGCTCTGATGGAGGAGCCATCCCTGGTGCTCAAAAGCAGGTGAATGGGTGGTCTTTCCCAGAACTGTCTAACCATGGAGGGCAGGGTTGCTCTTTCTGACCTTCCTTCCACTTCCCTAATACTCTTTTAAGTCTGTAGCCCTCTGAAGCCAGAAGCGTACAATATCTTTTGCTCTTGTGTTCTCCTTCTTAACCTTGTTTCTCCCTTTTGTGGTACTTTTTTCTGCCTCTCTTCCTATTAGGTCCCAGTGTCATCTTAATTATCTGGCTTCCCTCCCTTTGCTAGTCTTCTCCTGCCCTTACGAAATTTTTCTCTAGCTGTTTCCTCCTCTTTTGTCTTCAACTACTTATCTCTGGTTAATTTTCACTTTTATGCTATTTTAGTAAGATTTTCTGACCCTATGCCTGGTGCACCATGCTGGACCCTATTTCCACTATAGCACTCTTTGCAAAGTGCTTAAAAGCACAGTAATGAAACCTGTTTCTGGTTTTGCACAGAATTTCCTTGCAACCTAGAAGAAATTATATAATTTCTCTGGTCTCAATTTGCTTACCTTTCTGGCAGTAATGCTTCTTCGGGTTATTATGATGTGAAAGTTTGAAAAATGGTTTTGATTCTGAGTGAACAAGGCTGTTGAAGCTCTTAGAATAATTTGCTGTGGTTCACCATGTCTGCTGCTGAGCACTAGAGAAATTTTGGGAGTTTTGATTTAGTTTGTTAGATGATTACTGCTTTCTAAATGGTTCCTTCTGTCCTCTGAGCACTTGGCTAGCTGTAGGAGGCACTAGACTGTCTTTCCAGTTGAAGTCCAACTCTCTTCGTTAAAGAAGAAAACCAGTCACAAATGGGATACCCCCACAAGGTGTGCAAGAGTGTACTGAGAAAAAAACTTCTCCCAACAGTCGGCCTTGCTGTATTTTCTCCTGGAGCAGGCAGGCCTGGGTTGGCAACTCTGTAAAGTTCACAAACCCAGCTTAGAGCAAGCGACCATGTTGTGTCTCTTCTTCCCTTAGAATCAACAGCAGCAGAATCAGCATCAGCAGCAGACAGCACCTCAGCAGCAGCCGCAGGCAGCACCGCAGCAGCCGCAGCCGCAGCAGCAGAACAGCACCCAGACCAACGGGACGGCCGGAGGCGCTGGCGCGGGCGGAGGGGGTGCAGGTGCGGGGCTCCAGCACAGCCAGGACTCCAGCCTCAACCAGGTGCCTCCGAACAAGAAACCACGCATAGGGCCTTCAGGCGCTAACTCAGGCGGGCCTGTCATGCCTTCAGATTATCAGGTACCTCTTGAAATTTTGCTACTTCTGATGCTGCAAGACCAAAACATCATTTTTCCCCCTTGCCCACTGCAAGAACACATCATGTTTTAATGAATTTTTCATGTAACCTGAGTAGGCATGCTGTGATATATTATATTAAAATGTTGGGTTTAAGTTAAAAGGTTTTGTTCTGTAATTTTCAATACAATACCACTTTAAGTTGTATCTACTGCACCCTGCTTTCCATTTCAGGAAAGCACTTAAATATTTGCTTAACTTCATGTTTGAGAGTAATCTTACTGAAGCCAGATGTAAATGCTGCATTGCATCAAGTTCAGGATGAACTTGAGTCTTGGCAATATTAAATCCTGTGTGAGGAGCAGATCTGAGAAGATCCCGAGAAGCAGAAGTAAAATTAGAACTAAGCTCTCCCATTTCATTCCTGTGTCATTTTACCTCATATTATCACATGTATGAAGCGGTTCTGTAGTTTATTCTGGTATCTTTCTAAGTCTGCCTCTAATCTTAAAGGAAAAATGCATGTTAACACAGGAATGTTGTTTTGGTTCATCTGTATGATTCATGCTGAAGTAGAATGCAAAGACATGCATTGTTTCTAATGGGACCAAAATTGAATAGATTTCATGTCTTCTAGTACGGTAGCATTCATAAGTAAAAGCAGTATCACTGAATTATTTTTGGGTTTGCATATTTGTCTTTGCTTACTAGAATTATATTTTCCACTGAAGAAGTGGCTTACACTAAGTATAGAAGGCATTGAACTTACCAAGATCTTTCAGTACTTTTGAGTTTATACTTGCTGGAACAGTAATGAGTTGAAAGCAGAATAAGAAAAAGGTAGATATTAAAGGTAGATTTTAAATGATGCTAGGGACTCTGCTACTAGCCTCTGAGAGAATCCCACCTTGGAGAACAGGCTGCTTTAAACTTAAAGTAAGTAGCTTTCAAAGCACCAAGCTCTGGAGTTGCCTTGACTTAGCTCTCCAGACCTTCTCCACAGACAATTGATTTCTCAGTGCCAGACATTTGTCTCCCATTTCTGTTTGACTCTCTTAATTACAAATGATCATGAAGGCATTGAGGGCAATTTAAGGGTAAAGACAACTAGGTTTCTTTTTTGAAAAGTTCCAGACAGGCTTGAGGCCTGGACAGATCACTGTAGCTGTCTGAATACACAGTATTTATGGCTGGTCTGTTTTGGTCTGTACTTTGAGGACTGGTGTGCTGCATTTGATGATATCCATTATAGAATTCTTATCCAGCTCTCTGAATTGTTGGCAAACTTCCCCCTTACAAGTTGCTAAGAGTCTAAATATTTTTTTTCCAGATAGATTTTTTTTTTTACCCTCTATGATGCTTTCCATCTAAACTTGAACAGCACAGGCATCAAAATCATGATCTGTATGTTTCCTTTACATCACTCACTAAATTGTATGGTCTGATTATCCATTTTTATATTCGTGTTTGGCTTTCTGCCCTTAAATTCTAGCTGACTGTCTTCTGTTCCAGAAAGGAATGTCTGCAATTTGTCCAAGTTTGACTTTGTTAAAAACAAATTCTCTTATGTGGAACAAAAATAAGCATGGGCAAGTTAATGCATTCTTGTAGTCTTATGGCATTAATTTTACTCCAGCATATCTTATTCAGGAGTAGGAAGAAGATTCCCTTTGCTTTGAGTTTCATTTAGCTTGTGATCTGAAGTCTCCATTGAAGTTTTCTTGTAGTTCACCAACCTCAGTATATGTTGCTTCTACAAATGACAGTGCAAATTACTTGTTGAATTTTACTGAGCATTCCTTTTGTGACCCTGGGTGTTTTGCTTAGCAGGGTGAGCTGATGCTTTTCATCCAGAATAAGCTCCTATAAAATCATACCATTTATAAAAAATCTTTTTTTTTTTTCCATTAGAAATTGAAAAAACTTTCGGAATTTAGAGAAAAATTTCAGGTTTTAGACACTCTGTTAACAACCTAACTAAATAAGCAAAGAATAATCTGGTTATTAACAACATATGTGCTACTGGGACACGTCTCTTCCAAAGCCGGAGTGCTGAGCTGTTGCCTCCAAAACTGACCCTTACAAACAAGTGAAGTTACTTGGTACAACTATTAGTTATACTGGTATTATATTGATATACACAGGTCTCCAGTATGGGACTGTTACCCCTCTTTCTCACTGTAGCCTCACTGTGCTTCACCTTGAAAGCAACCTTCATATTCCTATGTTAGAACACAGAAAAAGTTATGTGATGTTTTTAGGATTTAGTATGTTTTACAGTTTATGTAAAATTGAAATTTTACATAAACAGAAACATTACAGAAACAAAGGGCAGAACTGTTTTAGACTGCCTGAACTTTAGGGTCCTGCTTTCACAGCTTTCCTGGTTGGGGCCCAGTGGTTAGATGAGACCATTGACTGCCTTCACCAAGCAGATTCTTGGTCTGTGGAGGATGTGGTGTTCTTACAGACTGAGTGTCTCCATGGGATTTCTGTTGAGAACTCAGACTTCTCCAGGGCCTTTCTGGAACTCATAATGCTGATATTTAATCACAGTGTTACGCTCTTAACACTTTTCCTAGATGATTGCTGTTGGCCACAGGCCTGTTGATGACCCTTGGACATAGCCAAGTAGAACCACCAACTAGACAGTGAACAAAACTCTGTTGAATGACTGCCTGAACCCTTGCTTAACTTGGCTGGAAACAAAACTGTTTGCTGACTGCAAATTTGGGGGGGTGGGATGGTTTGTAGACTTTCCTTTCATGTGGATTGGGGTGGGGTTTATCTTGCTGGAGAGTCTCCTGTCCACTGAGCAGTACTTCTCATGCCAAGTGATTTTGCAACTTGCATTATTGGGCAGCTCACTATTAATTCTGGACAGGGAATGGATGTGATAATGAAAGAGCAAATTCATCAGGCTGGAGGTTGCAAACAATCCATGAATTTTTCTTGCTGAGGTTGAGATCCACTGAGCTGACATCCCAAACTGTGGAGGAGAAGAGAAAAACATTTAGGAAAATGAATGTTAGGTTATTGTACATACCCATGCCCAGCTTTAAGCAGTTGTCCTCGTTTCCAGTAGATAAGGCAGCAGGTTGAAAGACTCACCTAAAATGATATTATTTTTTCTTAGTGGACAATTTTTCATTTAGATAAATTGAGTAACTCTAAGGTCATGGTTGTCTTTTTCTCAGAAAAGAATAAAATGTTTCTCTATAACATTTAGTATTATGGATCCTGAGAAGGGTATTTATGGCCTCAGCAGTTTGATTTTGCATTAAAAGCAATTACAATAATGACAGAAATAATTGTATGAAACAGATGAATTTTGAAAGGGAGTCTGCTCTTGTGTCTTGTGTATTTTTCCTTCAGAAAATGGGTGTGTACCTGTTGTACTTCTAGGTGTCTACCAATACCTTGTGTATTTTGTGTGCTGTGTTAGGGCTGATTGCAGATCAGAATGATTACTTGTTTTATGGGACCCTAAATAGTAGCACTCTTTAGTCAACTTCTCCAAGAATTATGTTTTAATGACCTTCAGAAGGGTTCAAAGCTTCCTGAGCTGCGTAGTCCTAACAGCCTGGTTTTCATTCCCTTGATCCCTTTCTTTTTTTTTCCTGCAGCACTCCAGCTCACGCCTGAGTTACCAAAGCAACATTCAGGGATCTTCTCAGTCCCAGAGTACAATGGGCTATTCCACATCATCTCAGCAGAGCTCTCAGTATCACCAATCTCATCAGTCTCACAGGTACTGAGAGGCCTGACAGGCTGCACTCAGAAAGGAATGGACTAAAAGCCAGAAGACTCCAGCAATATGAAGTTCATAATGATGAGAAGACCAAAAATACAAACTGTAATGCAGAATTAAAGTTCGTGATGACAAAAGGAAAACTTCACTCACTGAAGACTTCCCCTGCCCCATCCCTTTATTGCCATAAAGGAGATTCTTGTGAAGTTTTCCTTCCTCCCTGCCCTTGCATGTGCTCCATTGTGGTTACTCTAATGAACCCTTCTGATCTGAACCCAGCACTTAATTTCTTTAACCTTTGGAATTTTGAAGGATTCCTGGTGCACCTTCCTTATGCTGTAGTGATTGCCATAAATCTGTCTTTTCAATCTCTTTAATGGGATTTTAAAGTTTGAAAATCTTGAACTCCCAGGCTTTCAAGCTTGTATATAGTTAGTTTTATACTAGGCAAACCAGTTTAGCTATACAGGTATATTGCACCTTTTTAAAGCACTATGTTATTTTCACAGGATATTACTGTTTTGCTCATGGATGTCAAGAACAGCAAAATTTTACTGTTCCAGAGTATTTTACTATTCTGTTTTTATTAGTCTAGTTTTCAGGCAAAGTTAAAAATAAAAAATTTAAAAAATTAATAAAATGAAAAAAGGAAAGAAGAAAAAAAACCACCCAAGTCTCTGCAGCGACAAATATGCTTCATGCTACTGGACTGAACGCCAAACAGGAGATTGCTGATATTTCTTAACTCATTCACATTGAATTCTTGAAATCACAGTGATCATGCTCTGACTAGTTTTAAATTAAGTGTTATTTCAAATGAAACCGGGACAGTCACATAAAAAGGAGATGCTTTCAGGATCTGTTGGAACAGAAGAATGGAATGTCTTCCCAGGCTGGACACCAAAATAGTCAGGAAAATGTATTTACTGCCCTCGAGTCTCAGTAGGAATGTGGATGATGTGCTTGTTTTTCTCTTAAGCAGCTGATTAATGTATGTGAGAGTTCTATAAATTTAGCTTTCTTTCGCATTCCTGAGTCAGTTCTCGAAATTTAAAGGTGACAGAAATACTAAGACTTGCTAAAACAAATGCATTTAATCATTTTACGTTAGAATTAATAATTAAGAGAAATTATTGTGCAGTTTGAAAAGCATGTTGAAAACTGTTCCTTTTTCATGTTTATAGTGCATATTCTATGTCCCTCACATTGCTGTGATTAACCAGATTAGTTACACCAGATGCGCTTGATTGCACTGAAATGTTTCCTTTTCCCTAGAGCAAACATGTTTTGATTGTGCCTAAGGGACTGCAAGTGGATGGGTAGCTGGCAGAAAATCCCCAGTAATTAAGCAAGAGTTTAGAAGCATAATCAGGGGATTATTGTCCAACTTCTGGAACCACAGTTATTCAGAGACACACAACATGTAATTTGGGACAACTTTGTTTTTCCTTCAGCCTTCAGAAATAAGGCTGATTCTAGTTGCAGAAAACCTGGAAAAACGCATTTAAAAAGATACTGGCAATGTAACACCAGTGAGCTTCTACAACTGGTGTCCAGAGAAGAGGTAAAGTGAGAGAAGTTTATGTGTAAATGGTTAACAATACAGATTTTTATGCTGCACTGTGTTCTCTTCTGTCCTGTGTCCACACAAAAAAACCTGTACACCCATACACGTTCACACTGAAGTTGTGATCAGATGTAGCAAGAAGAGGGTCAGGCACCGATCTCTTTCCTGTGGTGACCAGTAACAGGACCCGAGGGGATGGCCTAAAGTTGTGTCAGGGAGGTTTAGGTTGGCTATTAGAAAAAGGTTCTTCACCCGGAGAGTGGTTGGGCACTGGAACAGGCTCCGCAAGGAAAAGGTCACAGCACCAAGTCTGACAGAGTTCAAGAAGCGTTTGGACAGTACTGTCAGGCACATGGTGTGACTCTTGGGGATAGTCCTGTGCAAGGCTAAGAGTTGGACTTGATGACCCATGTGGGTCTCTTCCAATTTGGCATATTCTGTGATTCTGTGAATAAATCTGTTTGCTCTGAGGAGAATGCTATTCATCACAGCTAGTCACGTACAAGTTTCTACTGGGTTTCATCTCCCAATCACCTTTACTGCCCCCTTCCTCCTCAAACTTGTGCTCTTTTCATACCTTTTGTGAGCAGTTGGCTTGTTTTGGCTATACCTACCATCATGTGGTTTTGACAACACCCAGCTGCTCTGGAAAAGCAACTAAAACCTGCTTTTGTCATCAAATCAGTAAGAAGGTGGTGAAAAATGAAATGAAACAATTGAAAGGAAAACCTTATTTCTGGGGAAAAATAATCTCCCAAAGGATACTTTCAATGTGTAACCCTTGAAATGCTCCATTTTATACATGCCCTAGTAGCCTGTTTGTAAGAACAGATTTTAATTGTTCCTTTATTTCACTGAGCCTGAGGGTTTGCGTGCTTTCTGTCTCACCTCTTACTGATGTTAATATGAGGTACTTTTGAGCTAATGGATATTTGGTCAATGCCATAAATTAACATTTGACTTGAGTGTCACGTTTCTGGAAATTAATCTTTTTGTCCCCTTCTGTTTTTTTCGTCTTTCTCTTACCTCAAAATTCTTTTGTCTTTTCTACTACAGTAATGTAACATTTCTATTCCCTACTGTGACCTGCAACTGGTCATCAAAATTCATACAAGATCAGGAAGTGGCAGGGAACCATATGGTTAATTAAGGTGGGCTCTTGTGCCAATAAGGCAAAATCATGGTGTAGATTAATCTCTATGTAGAGTGTGAAACTTCACAGCAATGTAAGGTGCTTTAATTGAGCGAGCTTCCAGCTTCTAAAGTGACTGCCACGACCTCTCTCTAAGCTGCACTGGTGTTTCTGCCTTGGTTAGGTCTGGTAGATGACCACATGCCGCTCCTCTCTCTAGCTTTTGTGTGCACACATGAATCCTCCGTTCCTTCAAACTCACCACTGGGAGGAGAGTGAATAAAAGCAAAAGAGCTGGCTGCAAAACGTAGGCTCTGCACACTCTTGTAGTTCCTTCCTGGTGGTGAAATAACTCTCTTTTTCTTGGGAGCTTGATGCATGCTGCCGAGGTCAGTGGCCGTCATAGTGGAAGAAGCGTTGCTGTCTAGGGGTCATCCCGTGAGGTAAAAATGTTCCGCTTTCAAAAGCGAATCGTGCAGTTTGTCATGGGAAACCAGGACCATGTCGTTTTTGTTATTTTTTGCCTGTGCAGTTTCATTATTACTCATAGCTCTATCTCTGCCCATAACCCTTAGACCCTCACCAAAGTGTTTCACACCTGTGCTGAGAGATGCAGGTGACACGGGCAGAGCTGTCTTCTCCATCCTGGTGGGAGAGCAGGCTGCTGGGTACAGCTTTTCCCATTGTGGCTCAGAGGAAACAAACACGTGGGGAATGAATAGGATGAGCAGCCTGGTCCATGTTGGTGAAGTTTATGTAGCACAAACTGCACAATGAAGGAGAAATATAGGGGAAGCTGCGAGTCCTGCACTGTATCTGTGACACTGTATCTGGGGAGGGGGAGGGAAGAGCATTCGTAGCGGGAGGGGTGGCGGGAAGCTAGAAGTGTTCAAATATGTATAATATTTTATATAAACATAATAAGCTTAGTTCCCCTTCATAATCTTCAGGAATGGTACTTTAACACCATTAAGCAAAGAATTGTTTTAGGATTAAATAAATGTATTGTACATAAGGCCATACGTAATCTTCTAAAAATGTCGCCAGACAGAAGCGATGTGTATTACTATATGAAAAAAGTCCTTAATGCACTGTTATCTTCTAAATATTTAGTAGTAAATTAATGCTATTTAATTTTTTTAAAAATTTGTCTTGTGTAGACACTAAAAAGTATTACACAAAATCTGGACAGAACATGTCCTTTTTAACAGCAATTTAAAGAACTTTTTATATATGTAAGGTAGTAACTTTTCAAATTGTTCTAGTTGTATATTCCCATGTTTACTATTTGTGGAAGTGTGCCTGTCTCTATTCATTTTTTTTTTCTAATAATTTCATGCACACATCTTTCATTTTTGTAGTTTCCATTGGAAATTATTGTGTATGCACCTCATGCTGCCACAAAACTTTGCCACTCTAGATCTGTGGTGGCCACATTCAGCAGTGCCCATGCCAGTGGGCTAGCAAAACCACAAAGCAAAATACTTGTTTCTCATTCTAGAGTTGAGAGTTTACTGCTTTTAAGTTGTCCTGATGTCACTCTCGAAATGACTGTTAAAACTAAGCTATGAGTTCATTGCATTTATTTTATATTCTTGGTTGTAATGAAATGGAATTGACTTTGCTTCAGTGTGAATTTTTTTAATAAAATAATATACATTTGTAATAATAATAAAAAGTTCAAATCAAATAAGTGTGCAGAAAAGTTTTTGTAAATATCAGCTTTGGGCTACCAAGAGAGAAAATACCGCCCACGAAATTGCAGTTGTAATTACATTCAGAATGTTGATGATATCATACACCACACAAAACAAAGCTTGCAAAACCTCAGAGTTGAAATTACAGCTTTTAAAATGTCCATGAGGATATTCAAGGGTATGTGTCTATCAAAATAGAATGAAAGCTTATGGAAAGCAGAATCAATGGAGTGGTCCTCTTATGTTTTGTTCTGTGCTTACAAAATTCTGGCATGCTGTGCTGATGCCCACTGTTGAGATTCATTATTACTTGCATGACAGTGCTTTAGATGTATCTTCTGAAAAAAAGCTGATCTACTGCATTCTGAAGATAAATACCCTCGTGCCTTTTCCTCCTGCTGGAGGATTTCAAGATGTCAGGTGACAACATGGAAAGCACGAGCTAGAGCATGTTGGTGGGTTTTCAAAGTGGGGTTTTGTGTGCTTTGCTAATCTGTGTTTCTGTTCCATCTAACCGTTGTTTCACAGATGGATAGCTGAGTCCTTCCAAAAATCCAACTTGTCTTCTCCATAATAGTTGCCTGGGTACTTGCACTACCAATCGTGTTAGAAGGCTTCAGTTTCTGATGTGCTTTTTGCATAAGGGTGAGAGTAGGAGTGGCCTTTTGCCAAAAAACTTAGTCTGCATTTCTTACACCTCAAGATTGAACTATTGCTTCAACCTCAGTGCAATTGAGCATTCCCAGCTCTATAACCCTCATAGTTTTGTTTCTGCTGTCCTGGTTTTTTTTGTTAAGAGATTGTACTTAGTCAACAGCTTTGACTTGGATGTTCTTAAAACCTCTTATGTTGGCTCTCAATCTTCGTTCTTCTATAGCATACCTCTCTCTCTGTTTTTTTCTACCTTGTCATGCAATTTACAGTCTAATCCAGCTTGATCATACTGATCTGAATTACAGTGTAGTCCCTTTTTCTGTCCTTGACAGCTAAACAGCTTAGATTTCACAGCCACTGAGAAAGTTGCAGAGTAGGTTGTTTATATTAGTCTCTTGCTTTGACTTGTTGCTTTCTGCTTTGTGTTACTGCCCTGGCTCTGCCATCTCTGTTGTATTAGTTGTGAAGCTTCTCTCTTCACTTGCACATCACTGCCAAAGCCTGCTGTTATGCTATCCCTCTTACTCAAATCAAGAAGTTGTATAAGTTATCTTCTGCTCTGATTGTGCCAC